AGCAGGAGAAGAAGGCATTTTCAGAAACACGAAATGGAAAGTTTTTCATTATTTCTTAAAAGGGGTGTATGTGTACTGGAATTCTTCAGTATATAATTTAGATTATAATACTTTTTTCAATATTTTTTCACTCAACTGAATCATTTTTCTACAAATTAGTTAATTCGACTTTAAGAGAAGATGACAGAAGTAAAGTTGATACATTGGAAGCTTACTGTTATATGTTAAACGAACATTTATACACTCAGTGTGACGACATGTGTTTAACAACTCTTTATCGTGATGTTACTTTAACGGACGAAATGATGGACGAATATCGACAGGCCGTTGGTACATTTATCAAATGGCTTGCATTTACTTTGACATTGAAAAATCGTGAAGTAGCTGAAATGTTTTGTTATAATACATCGTTTATTATTGAATTTGATACTCGATTCAGTATGAGCAGTGACATTTCACTGCTTTCGCATCATCCTAATGAGGAAGAAGTACTTCTAACGGCTGGACATGGTTTTTACGTTGACAAAGTTGAAGATCATGCATCAAATGGAGAATATTTAATTTATCTTGCAGGATGTTAATGATATTATATTCGATACTACTGTCCATTTCGAAATATAGTGTGGGTGATTGCGACATGAATAACTCGAGAACGGCATGAACTATCGAGATCGGGTTTTCGCCATCGTGCAGTCAAAACCGGGGCACGTAATAATAGGCAGAAATCAAAATTTTTGCGTGGATCTATAGAGGATTTCTAACTGGATCTCTGGAAACCAACTTATAGCTCCAAAGTTTTTCATAGAACTCTATCAGTTTTTTCATATATGAATAGTGCAAGATGTCCTCTACAAAATCAGATTCAAAGGACATGTCAAAAAGCCATGGTTTGGGAGCTGTGGGCGTTTTCTTTAAGCCTTAGAACTCCTCTGGCGTTAGGTATGGGAGCGTACCAAATGAATGAAAACATAGGTTACTGACATAGGTCCTTTTTTCGCAACCGGTATCAGAGATATTTTAAGTACTTTTCTCGCCATATGCAAACGAGGATGCAACTTGTATTTCGTATAGAAACATAGCCCTTGATTTACTCTATAATATTCTATATAAAGAACCTTCATCCATCACCGAACGAGTCACTTATAGTTTCTACAAGAGACAAATTGTACCTGAAAGACGATATCAGTGATGTTTTAAGTACTTTTTTCTCCTTATGCAATAAGGACGCAACTTGTGTTTGGTATAGAAAAATAGCCAATTAAAAACTGAATAAAATGGTGTATGAGCCATAGTTACATACCATATTACTAATTTTCGAGTGTTCCCGATCTAGTAACCATACATGAGTGATCATATTTTTCCATTATCCCCCATACGCAAGAGACGATGCAACTAGTCTTTAGTATAGAAAAATACCTCTTGAAAAGCTCTACAATATTTGAGTAAACAAACACTACATACCATTCGCTCAATCCATTAAAATTCAAATACGAGAAAAATCAAGAAAATGCAGTTATATTTGCAGTCCAACACCAGTTAAAAACTGGTGCATGCCTACTCTATATAAATAAAAATAAATATTCGTTTATTTTGATATTCTAAGATTAGAAAATGCAGGATTCTTTTCCTTCCAATATACCCAGGTCCAAAAATTCTAGTAGAAATTCCATACAAATCTCATGCGCTCCGATATCTGTAAAAAAACGTAATAGAAAACTGTAAGATTTCTGTAGAATCATACAGTAGAGAATTATAAGATATCTACCATAGGACTGTTATCATTTTTTTCTATACATTTTACATTCACATTTCGGGTTGCAGTAACAGCTCTATATTAGGCAAGCACCAGTTTTTAACTGATGTTAGGAAACTGTTCGAACAGGTTTTTTTTCGTAATTTAGTACATTTTAGAATGTCCAAGTTTTCTTAAAAATGATTCTAGAATTCTTTTAACAAATGCATTTTGTAGAGCAAGCATTTTTCTACAAAATTAGATGTTTTACACCTCTGAGAGAATCGTGATAACTGATTTGTAACAATTCTCCCGGATATAGAGTGCATACCTAATATAGAGCTGTTACTGCAAACCAAAATGTGAATGTAAAATGTATAGAAAAAAATGATAGCAGTCCTATAGTAGATATCTTATAATTCTCTACTGTATGATTCTACAGAAATCTTACAGTTTTCTATTACGTTTTTTTACAGATATAGGAGCGCATGAGATTTGTATGGAATTCCTACTAGGATTTTTGGACCTGGGTATATTGGAAGGAAAAGAATCCTGCATTTTCTAATCTTAGAATATCAAAATAAATGAATATTTATTTTTATTAATAAATACACAAATATATAACCAGTTAACATCAGTGATAAGTTAGTTGTGAATGTTTATGATACAACACGCCACATTGTTGATGTTTTATGTTGACTTGTACTTGTAATTTCTTATAATTTTCTAACAGGATTGTTACTAACTTGTAATAGTGAATTGAATATCGATGCTTCACAATCTCTTTGACTAGAAGTATATTATTTTGTTTTATGTGAATGCATACAGGTTTATACAAGATTTGATTAATAGTCATCATAAGCACTACGGATGTTTGATGTTTTCGTTCGAGTAAGTGTTGGCAAACAAAAAAAACAATTCAATGTTGTATTTTGATTATTAAATTCTGATGAATTAGAATTATCCATTATATCCATCCGTCGTTCAACAAATCGCTTAGCTTCTTTATCAAATTCAGCACGATTACGTAATAACTAAATATAAGAACAATCTTAAATACAATTAATAAGTAGGCTAATTCTAAAGAACGCTCTTGATTTTTATTTTAGATAGCTCTTACTAATCGCTCACCGATGATAATTCGTTTATTATCATTTTCAAAGCATACCAAAACAAAAAATAATTTTTCAACTTTTTGAAATTAATCACAATTCGAAAATACTTACTTCAAAACTTTTTGATTCTTTAACAATTTGTGGTCGATATAATTTTTCTCTCAACACTGGTACATCTCTCATAGCGGGAAACATTTTAAGTGATTGAACTTTGGATAATGGCTCAAAACATTCACCACAAAACTCATCAGGGTATATTATATCATGATACCAAACTGACAAATGTATAACAGCGCCTTTTTCTTGTAAGATATGTCGAGATGAACAAGATCTAGAACAGAAAAATTAATGATCAAAAAGGTAAAATACGCAACAAAAACTAACATGATAAATTGTTCATCGAAGACTGGATCTAAAGTGTTCTTTTTCACCGCTGTCTTGCACTGTATTGATGGTTTTGATGGTAACAACTCTATGATAACATACGGATCACA